AACTACTTTATTTAAAAGCTTAAACTATTAGATTAGTATTAGATGTAAACATGTATTTCGTCATTTCAGCGCAGGCCAAAGATGACAAAACTGTAGTGGATGCCAAAATTATGGGACTGCGGAGAAAATGGAGTGACATATGCCAACGTCTTCATTGCACTCAGCCATTTCAAGAAGATATTCCACAAAGGTCACAATTTCCCATTGATCAGCCTTCTCAGGTAGTTTCTGATTTGAGGGAAAGCACTAATGCAGATTTATTATTGGACAAGGACAGAGTAACCAATATTAGTCCTAGCATTTCGTTGGACTTGCAAAATAAACTCAAACCTGTTGCGTCAGACATTAATGCCAATGCAAAGGCAGAACTACCTGTGCAATGTTGGAAGATTCAACAGCTAGAGACGAATGTCCTACAGAACCCCTCCTGTGCTCAGCAGAATTTGAGTTTGCCTGTTGATTGTACATTGTCACCCTCGGTTAGTCATGTGATCACAGATTTGGGGCTGGGAACGCTTTATGAGTGTGCTGAGGAAGAACGTAGAAACTTCAACCCTCAAGAGCATTATAATTGCACTCAGGACTTATCTGGTTCATCTAGAACTAGGGAGAATGCCTCCCATCAAGTTTCCCAATCATCTTCTTGCTCTTATGGTCAATGGGAAAAGTTAATAACTATAAAAGACCTTGAGAACCCATGGAAAGTTCTTGCTGAAAATGTATACTGGCAGATTGAAGCTATTCGAACTATTAGTAAAACCGTGTCACATTGCAGAGCCGGAAATGGGAGCAGTCGTGGGTCAGACAAAAGAAATGTTTGGCTCAGCTTTCTGGGGCCTGATAAAGTGGGTAAGCGAAAAATTGCTGCAGCACTTCCTGAGACAATATTTGGCAGAAAGGAACATTTGCTTTCTGTGGACCTGGCCTCCCAATTTGAGATTAGAGCTTGTAACTCTATATTTGATCATCAGGATTCAAAATGCTATGATTTGAAGTTTGGAAGGAAGATGGTTGTTGATTACATTGCTGAGGAGTTAAGCAAGCGAACCCATTCAGTTGTACTCCTTGAAAATATAGAAAAGGCTGATTACTTGGTTCAGAATAGTTTGTCTCAAGCCATCAGAATAGGTAAGTTTCGAGATTCGCGTGGGAGGGAAATTGGGATCAACAACACAGTCTTTGTCCTTACATCAAGCTTCCTAAAGGCACACAATGATCTTTTTTCTGGAGAAGTATCCTATGAATTTTCAGAAGAAGTAGTATCAGAGGCCAAAAATTTTCAAATGCAAATTTTAATTGGGTCTATTAGTGGAAATTACTGTAGAAACAAAAATGCAAATGTTTTAGTTACTTCAAGTAAAGAAACCAATATCACATGCTCTGTAAATAAGAGGAAGTTGGTTGATGATCAGTCTACCAAGATTGGGATGCCAAAACGAAAGTGTGAAACGTCAAGATCCTTTCTTGATTTAAATTTGTCGATAGAGGAGATGGAACAGGACAATGATATTGATAAATGTGATGCTGAATCCACATATGAAGTGTGGTTGGAAGAATTGCTAAGCCATGTTGATAAAAAGGTGGATTTCAAACCATTTGATTTTGATTCTCTGGCCCAGAAAATTTTGAACATGATCAGCCTTGGATTTCAGAAAGTAGTTGGACCTGATATTTTCCTTGAAATTGATCGAGAAGTGATGGTTCAAATACTTGCGGCTGCTTGGTTAACAGACAGGGTGAATGCCATTGAGGATTGGATCGAACAGGTTCTTTGTTCTAGTTTAATGGAAGCCCACCTGAGGTGCCATGTTACTGCTGACTGTGTAATGAAATTAGTAGCTTGCAAAGGCCTTGTCATGGAAGAGCAGTTTTCTGGTGTGTGCCTTCCAAGAAGAATAATTCTGAACTGATTTTTGATCAGGTATGCATATTGTATCGATGTAAATTTTGGTCTTGTTAGCAGTTTGCATCCTTCTACTGATAAGTAATCCCCCAGTCATATGTT